CATTCCAAATACAATTTGTAAATGATAGGTTTGACGATTCGATGAATTGGCTATAGGAGTGAATAAAAAACTCCACGTTGTTGATTCATGCAGAAATTATAATATTCTGTCACAATGAAACACCAAACATTGCTGTGATACTGACAAACCAGAGAAAAACCATACAGAATGTAAAATGGCAGCCATGATGGATTGCGATAGAGAAAATAATAATTTCCGTCTTCTTCTGATTGATTACCAGGTACAATGTCACTTACGATAAATAAAAGTGGAGTTTATCCTCAGATGAGTGTGGTACAGACACAGTTAACGTCAAACTACCGTACCTTTATTAGAGTTGCTATCTAAGTCAGTTTACATCTTATCCTCTCTATAACATTCTACTTATATATCATTAATATACTGATCAGTGTCTAGTATTTTATTGTATTTTTATAGATTATGTTTCTTACTTAGTTATGCCAGCTACCCTTAATGGAGAATAGGCTGACGAACAGCCTACTCTGTTTTGCACTTTCCTTTCTAGTTCTGTTCAAATGTTGTCCATTCTTTTCATATCTGTCTTCATTTCTCGGTGTAACGTGTTCTTTGGTCTCCCTCGTTTCCTTCGACTTAAAGGATTCCAAGTGAGGGCTTGTCTTGTGATTCAGTTTTGTGGTTTTCTCAATGTATATCCTATCTGTTTCCAGCGCTTCTTACTGATTTCTTCCTCTGTTAGATTCCGGTTTGTTGTTGATGATGTATGACCAACGGATTCGAAGTATGTTGCATAGTTGCCTGTTAATTAACACCTGTATCTTGTGGTTGATAGTTTCCTTGGTTCTTCAAGTTTCCACCTGATGCAGTAGAATTGTCTTGACATTTGTATTGAAAATACTGACTTTGCTGTTGACTAAAAGACATTTGTTTTGATTTCCAGATTTTGTTCAATTGTAGAAATGATATCCTTGTTTTGCTGATCCGTGCCTTCATATCTGCATCAGATCCACAGTGCTCATATATGTAAAGGCTTCTAAATCTTTAAAAGCTTCACCATCATGTGTGATCGGGTTGGAGTATAGTGTATTGTATCGGAGAGTTTTTCTTTTTCCTTTTGTGTGCATTGAGACCTACTGCTGTAGAAGCTTTTCGTATATTGTATAGAATAAATTAAATAATTGGCTGATACGGAGTTATCACACTGACATTCTGACTTCACAGTATGATGAGTTGATGTGACGTAGCTTAAGAAAATATATATTATTAAACACTAGTGTAAAAATTTCCAGAATATTTTTGAACGAATTACCATAAACATCGTAAAATTTCATATTCAATCAAAATTAGATAATTCCCATGAAATCCAACCAATCAGATCTCGCATAGAACTATGATTTACAACCAATTGAATAATTATTTTAGTGGAAAAAGGCATGCTGATGAACAAATGGTGCACATAGTTTATGAACATTCAAATCAATCACTATTTTCTTCATATTTACGGTCACATTCTTAAAATTTATCCCAAGAGGTACAAAAAGAAACCATAGTCGGTTTAATGTTGTCACCCAATACAAAGATTTATTGAATCCTTTAGCCATATGAAAATTTAAAACCCATTTATGCATTCAAAAACAGTATGTTCTCACTCAAAACCTACTTTGGTAATATTTTACATATTTAGTTTTCGTGGTGGTGGGGGCGTTTGGTTCTCTGAGTTGGATGTTTTGGTTGTGGAGCTTTCATTGTTCTTCTGAACACTACATCGTCAGCACAAAGTTCAGATAGAAGTGAATCATTCGAATTTCTCCACGTGTGACCTGTAGCTTGTTCTGCTAACCTCGATCTTGATTGGTTGCTGTTAATTCAACGATTTTAAAGCTGCGTCAAGCCAGATCACTTGGTCAGTGTTAAAGCACATATTTACTGATAAATATAATGTTTTTGAAGGAGATACAGGATGAAAAAATGTGAGTTTTATTCCAATTTTGTCACGAAATTTAAAACATATCAAATTTATTCAGGGCGAAACGTACCTTCATTAAGCATTTAGAAATGATAAGTTCAAAATCATCAGTTGTGAAATCATACAGAGAATATGAAATGAAGTGAAATATAATTTGCATGAAACTCTTGTTCCTGATGCAGATTTTATCAGGAACAGAAATTACAAGTTGAAGGTTTCTAGTTCGCATGATTTCTTTAAATGACACCTTTGAATATATAGCTGAAAGAAAGAGAGAAGTTGCAGGCTCTTAACCAGATTTCGATTATCTATCTATTATTCTTAAAGTAGTTTTGTTACGCCTGCACGTAAACTGGTCATTTTGATATGGTTGAACTATTACGAGTTCACCTTAGTCGAGAAACGAGAGCGAGGATAGAGGATCTGGCGACACGACATGCTACTCAAATCCGATTATCACAACCTCCATATTTAGTTAAAATAATAAGACGTGATATGAAGTAGAACCTGTATTCTACAAGCATCCAGAAAGTACGAGGTCCGAATCCAGAAGAGAATCAGGATCCCGGATTAGGGATCCGGGACCGGGTCCTGGTGGTGGTCATAAAACGTTGCAGATAATGGGTATTTATATATTTAGGTCGAATATGAAACAACATCGAATTCTGTGGCATTGGCAGTTAAGGCGACCAATAAGAAGCAACATTTGAAGTGGCATTGATAGTCAGGAAAACCAATAAGAAACAACATTGGAGCAGGTGACATTGATATCTAGGACGACCATAAAATTGACCAGTAGTAATTAACCAATAGGAATTGACCAATAATTCTCTTAGGATATTGGATGAATATCCTAACAAGTTTTTGTACACAAAGTGATATTAACTGGAAACTCATTTAAACTCAAGGAGCTCCCAACAATTATTTCGTATTAACTTGGGAATCTTCAAGATTCAAGTGAATCAGAACAGAAACCTCAATAATATTCGACGATTGCAGTTTTATCTAACGAATGAACCAGATATAGATCATATTCTCAGTAAGACTTTCTCGGTAAGAATTTAGTGATATAGTGAATTTACCTAACTGATAATCTCCAAACTAGAACTGCACATATGTTCACTGATCACTTGGTTCTACTCGTAATATAGTGAAGTAAATAGGAGGTTATGCAACTAATTTTTATGGACTACTGATGTATAATTATGAATAAACTAGACTGCCAGGTATGTAATACTAACACAAATGATTTACTGTTCCTATTTTATTAACAGTTTGTTATTTACAGTCGTCTCCTACTCATAGACCATTTTTGGCTCATTCGTGTATGGTTGTTAATTTTCATATATTAGTGCGATGTAGTCTGGTTTTGTACATATTATTAGGATATTCACCAAATATCCAATGAAAAATCATTTTGAAGGTATAAATTCTATTGGTCGATTCCCATTGGACAATATTATGATCGTCCTAGATATTACTGTCATGTACTTCAATGTTGTTTCTTATTGGTCGCCTTAACTGTCAATGTCACAGACTTCTATGCTGTTTCCTATTCGACCTAAATGTATGAATACCCATTATCTGTAACGTTTTATGACCCGGACCGGGATCCTCAGTCCGGGATCCGTGTCTTCTGGACTCGGACCTCGTACGTTCTGGATACTTGAAGAATACGGGTTCTACCTCATATCAAGTCTTCTTCTTTCACTCAATGGGGGTGTGGAACACTCGAATTTGAGTAGCATGTCGTGTCGCCAGATCCTCGAGCCTCGCTCTCGTTTTCCGACTAAGGTAAACTCGTAATAGTTCAAGCATATCAAATCGATATGTTTACGTGAACTCTTAACACATTTATCAAGGAATGTCTAAAAGATATTACTGAATCTTGGACTAGCGGTAATTGGTCTTTGATTTTCCTCTTCGGCTGGGATAAGTTGCTATTCGGCGGTCTTTCAACCATACTATATGTAGTCTGTTGCCTTTGTTGCATACTGGTCACTCAGAGGTCGTCTGTGTGTTGGTTTGTGTGAAGACATAGAAAATCGTTTTCCAGGCGATACCACTCCTATAAGTATTAGGCTGAAATTTATGAAACAACTGATACTAAACTTTTTTCTTATAAGGAAGATAGAAATAAATATACCTAATGAAATCATGAATTGATCAAAGTTAGACCACCATTTAAAATCTGAAAGCATTGGATGGCCATTTAGACCTGGTGTGGGACTCAGTTAAAGTGCTAATCCACAACTCCTGCACCTCTTAGGGTTCGAACCCAGGACCTTCGATCTCGCTCAGGAACGCCTAACTTTTGGAACACTGAGCCGGTATCTAACGGTGTTAGTGTCTGACCTCGATCAATTCATGGTCTTGCGCAACCTCATACACTGTCTTTGGCAGTTACTGTCTACACCCTGACAGAGTTGAACTCCAATGGTCACGACTGACGGAGCTGGTCGCTAGTAAGCACGAGTAATTGTTGAGATAGTTGAGTTACTTATTGAAATCATGAAGCTAGACATTAACACCGTTAGAGACCGGCTCAGTGTTCCAGAGGTTAGGCGTTCGCGCGCAAGATTCAAGGTCCTGGGTTCGAGCCCTACGAGGTGCAGGAGTCGTGGATGCGCACTCCTGATGAGTCCCGTACCAGGACGAAACAGCCATCCAGTGCTTTCAGCTTTTCAGTGGTGGTCTAACATTGATTCATTCGTGTTTTCAACACGTAACTCAGCAATCTCCATAACCCCATATTGCAAATAAATTTACCTTAACTACTTTTAACAGTAACTTTGATAAGATCATAACATTTACACTACATGTTACTCAGTAATTTTTCTTACACTAAGTCAATATTATGTTAAACAAGATAAAAAAAAAAAGTATGTCTGCTCATTGCACTATTAAGTGGTTATGTTCAAGCAATTAACGTAGTGTGACAGACATGTATGTAGTGATGATTTAAGTCGTGTTGATCTACTTCAACCATGTGCAGCTGCTATATTGATTTTAATTGGTTGACTAATATACATGTGCCCCATCTACTATTTATGTATTCATTTTTAAAACTTGAAGAAAAACAAACAAACGCTAATCACTTTCTCATTTCTTTTCGATTGAAAAGAAATTCAATTTTGTCATAAAATTTTTTTTAATTTCTTCACGAATCAATATGTCATCGACATCTTTTCACTTATCAGCTTCTACACCATTGACGAAATTTTTCAAAGATAAATCAGTGAAAGAGATTCGTGAAAACACATCACATGTAACTGCTCATTTGATTAGTTTAAAACGTTGGTTATGCTCAATGCCGCATCTTTCTTGTGCTGATGGTAAGTTAGTCATAATGATGATATTTTCATATGGAATGTAAATTTATAAATTTACTTACTTACCTACACCTGTTACCCTCCAAATGGAGCATAGGCCGCCGACCAGTATTCTCCGACCTACTCTCTCCTGGGCTTCCTTTTGCAGTTCTTTCCAATTTTTGTTCATTTTTCTGACATTTTTCTCTATTTCTCGGCGTAATGTGTTCCTTGGAATTACTCTTTGCCTTTTACCTTGAGGGTTCCATGTGAGGGCTTGTCTTGTGACGCAGTTCAGTGCTCTTCGCATTGTGTGTCCTATCCACTCCCACCGCTTCTTGCTGATTTCCTCCTCCACTGGAATCTGGTTTGTTCTCTCCCACATTAAGTTGTTGCTGATAGTGTCTGACCAACAAATCCGAAGTATTTTGCGCAGACAACTGTTAATGAATATTTGTATCTTGTAGTTCTTCAACTTTCCTCTCCATAGAGTGGAACTGTCTTGACATTTGTATTGAAAATCCTGATTTTACTGTGTTGATTGATATTTGTTTGGAGTTTCAGATATTTTTCAATTGTAGAAATGCAGTCCTGACTGTTTACTTCAAAATTTTCTAAATCATTCAACATATGCACAAGTGTTTTTCGAATTGTTGAACAAGATTTCCTTCAATGAGAGAAAATCTTGTTTGGAATTTTGTGTTATATCAAATCACAGGGGAGATTAATTTGAATTTCTTCTCATTCTGTAATCATTACATTTAGATTTGATTAAACAAACGTAACATTCTTTAGATTATGATAGTTTGAAATAAGAAGTTTTTAATATAATAATCTATGATGATGTTGAAGATTCATAACTCCATAAGAAGGATTTAATCTTGACTTCCTATCAATGAAATGAACTGTTTTAATTATATGAATTGTAACAATTTTAATGACAGTTCCATACTGAAACCAGCATTATCATTAATGAAATTTCTGTCGCGAAATCAAAATTTCGTTAAATTAGTTATTTTTTTAACAATTTTGAGATTGACTGCTTGTATTAGCCAACAAACAGTGAAAAAACTGAATGATCTGAAACAAAATGTCCTTAAAAATGGCTTCAAAAAATCTACACTCTACTTTATCGATTGATGGATGACTTAAGTTTTTGGTTTCACTACTGTAGTAACTCATATGACAATCTAAGCCTGTGAACATGATGTTTGTGATAATAGTATTTGCTCATATCATGTGCGTGACTTTAAGGATGCATAGGTTTCTGAATGGTTTCGAATCATCCTTCAGACACCCCCAGTACCTAGCGAATATGAAACGCAAGTTCTACAGTAATAGTTTATTGGTTGTTCAATATGCCAAGGGATGTGAAATCAGGAAAACCACATCGACTAGAAAATCACTGGAATTACTAGATAATTTGTCCTTCTTAGTTTGAAGGTTCGTACTAGCATTGTTCACCCGAATTAAAATAAACCCACCGGCTTTGATTTTATTCATTCAGTCAAAATCCATGCGTTTGCAAGTTTGTAACATTGGTCAATTAAAGTGATTCAATACAATGTAATGTAATATCACTACTTCAATGAAATAAAAATCCTTTTCAAAGCTAGTCATTAGTAATTCTATCACAATTAATACTTAAGACAGTTTCAGATAAAACGTAGATGTCGACATGGACTTCAACCGGATTAAGAATTTTATTGAAGACTGTATGGATTACGCAAGGCCGGAAGGACTAGTGATCGCCAGTATTAATATAACCATTAAATATGTATGATGACTTATGTTTTCTGACTGATCACTCAGTGGTAAACAGAACTGTCTGTTCATATGAAGTGAGTGATAAAGCCATTTAAAAGCTCAATTTCTAAAGACCTTCAGGAATATTTTAAATCATTATACAAAAATCCAAACATTTCCCAAATTAAAATGTTAATGTCTATTTCAGATTAGCGATTGATAGACTGGAACACAATTAGTGATATATCAATAATAACTTTCATTGTTGAACTGATTTGTTTGAGGAAATGTAAAAACTTCCTAACCATAGATAATATAATAATCCTAATCTATGCTTTGGTTACATTAGACTACTTTTAGTCAGTACCAGTAGTGATTTACTTGTCTGGTCATTTGAATGTTTACTTTTCGTTACCTTATTTCTTTTTCAACACGATAAATTAATCTAACCAGGTATTTGGTGATTTCTATTCAAAAATGAATCAAACTACACTAGTAGTTGTTGTTAGTAGTTTGTTGGGGATTTTATATCCCCAAAACTCGCTTGATAAATGTCTTATTTTGGTTTTCACGTTTGACAGCATGAGCTGATCAGTTGACATTGAGATTTCAATTCCCACCAGGAAAATCCATGGCTGTGATTGGCTGCTGTGTATTTTAGTGTACTATTTTCTTAACTGTCTCAAGGACGTTTCTATGTTGTATAAATAAACGAGAGTTGTATGCTTGATTGTATTGTGATTGCTGGGTGTTTGTAGAATATACTTTCTACGCTTACAAAGTCTTCTATCTTCAGCTTGGGATTCAAGGTAGTCTATCTGGATGCTGGCAATTGTCTCGTTCGCGTTTATCGACTAAGGTAAACTCGTAATAGCCTCAAGCATTCTTAGTGATGAACATAATATAGTTTGTAAGTAGTATACTGAAATTATTTGTAGGTAACAGATATGTTCACATGTGAATATCTGTTCAGCCAAAATGTATACATGATAAATTATGGATCCCTGATAGGGTTGGACAAATCAGTATTTGAAGTTTTCAAGTTTACAATAGTGATTAAATCAAATTTATTTTTTGTGATTTGTAACTTCAATTTCAACAAACACTACAGAGCTTTTTAATTAAATTTGTACTTAATAGTGTGTTCAGTGAGTACTAGGGGGTGTAGGAAGGATTTGATTTTGACCAATCTGGTCTCGTGTGTTGTTACGGGTATGAAGGTGGTTGTCACTTACCAGCTGCCCACACCGTGGAAGGTTGTTTCTTGAGGAACCTGAAAAGGAAGGTATATTAGCGTTGGTCTTAGAGACCTGGGTGAGCGACCGCAGAGCCCAAGTGACAACTGCTTGAGGCCGGTCACGCACGGCCTTTTTATGAAGGGATTTTTGATTATTAGCTCCTCTCTTAAAAGCCCTTAATGTGCACCCTTACCGCCGGAGACGGAAATCCGTGAGGTAGGGTGAGGTGTGACATTTTTAGGGTCGACCTTTTCTAACCCTTCCTTCCTTTTGAGAAGGCAGCATCGCTGCAGATGCTGGCTGTCCGAGAGAAGCACCTTACTGCCGTCACACCTCCCTGCAGTCAGCAGTACGACTTCACCCTCAGGCCTTGAGTACTTCTTGCAATTTTATATCCAACGATGCTGAAACCAAAAATAATCATGTTTTTTTCTCAGTAATTCAAATCTATGCAATTAATTCATATGCTTGATAAGTCACTTGAAACCTATAAAAACTTTCTTATGTACACCTGGTTTAATTAAAATAAAATCATGTTACTACTACTACTACTACTACTACTACTACTACTACTACTACTACTACTACTCACACTACTATTACTACTACATACTTATTCGCGGTAACAAAAGTGCTCTTTAAAAGTAATTTAAAATTTTACTCAAATCACAAATAAAATTATCAAGTCAAATATTGATCGCCTTGAATTTTTAAAACAAACACAATCATCATACATAGATAGATAGATGGATAATTTTTATAATTGAATAAAATCTACTTCATATTTCAAATCGGTATAAAACAAAATGTTATACAAATCGATATTATTTTAATGTATTTCCTCAAATGATTGAATAATATAATTCATTGAATCAACCAGTGGAACTAACCAATCGCGTTAAAACAACATGGAATTAATTGATTTTCGTTGTATGTTTGTTGTTTTTTTGTTTGTAATTAAACATCTATTGATCAGCAATGATTTAAACAACACGACATGATATGACTTACTAATTTTGATCAGTGAATGAAAATGAAATAACATTGGTAGATTTATATCATTATAGCATTAATCACGAACTGATCTTGGCCAAACTACGAATGAGATATGGGAGGTGACTCACTGGCCTGGAGGTTAGGTGTTCGTGTACGAAACCGAAGGTCCTGGGTTGGATTTCCGGATTTCTCGTAGTGGATACAGACTACAGAAAGGTCCTATACGTGGACGAGATGGCAGCTGAGTCGTGGCTCAGATAAGATCACTTCGCGGCTTAAACTATGAAAGTTCTACGATACTTACAAATCCCCCAAAACTTATATTTTTTGGGATATATTTATGGTAATTTTGTTTTTACAATGGAATTGTAAACCAATCATTGTTAGATCGCCAACCGAAACCTGGAAGCACTGGAAATGCCGTTTCGTTCTAATATGGGACTCTTTAGCAGTACGCATCCACCGCTGCCTACAGTAACTACCGAAGACAATGCGTGAGGTTGATTAAAATTGATTGATTAAAACACTAATACCGCTGGGTGTCGGCTCATTGGTCAAGAGGTTAAACGTTTGTGTGTAAGACCAAACGTCGTCGATCTATACAGATAATGAGTCCTATACTGGAACGAAACGACAGTCCAATGCTTCCAGGTTTTCGCTGTTGTTCTAACAATGATTGATTCACAATTCCAATGTAAAACAACAATCTCCAAAACTCATTAATGAAAAATTTTATTGTTAACATTAGAAAAGTGTGAAAATCCTACTTTATTTTCATGACATACATTTTTATTCAATTATTAAATCTGTTGCTTACTTAAACAACAAATATTGACATCTTGTTTATCAGTTCTGTTAAACATTTGAATAAACTGAATTACCAATTGAAGAATAAACAAAAGAAATGTGATTTTATTTGTTCATTAGTTAACTATCATAGAAAAACATCGCTAAAGCATTTTAGTTTGATATTGTATTCTTTTAACAGAGTTTTAATGATCAGTTTATAATTTTTTTCCTTAACTCTACTATATTCACTAAGATTAGAGTGATTTGAATTCATAACAATGACAAATGTGAATGAATAAGTTTTTCAATTGTGATAATTAGTATGTGCCAACAAAGATTGATCAATATTCAATGAATACTATTATCCATATGCATTAGGGGGTTGTGAAGATTGTTTAGTTACACATTTTTGAAACCATGAATTGATCAATGTTAGACCACAATTAGAAACCTGGAAGCACTGGACGGCCGTTTCGTCCTAGTATGGGACTCCTCAGCAGTGCGCATCCACGACTCCTGCACCCCACAGGATTCGAAACCAGGACCTTCGGTATTGTAGGCGAACGCCTAACCATCGGACCACTGAGCCAGTATCTAACGGTGTTAATGTCTAACTTGATCAATTCACGGGGTTGCGCAACCTGATACACAGTCTTCGGTAGTTACTGTCTACACCCGAACAGGTTGAACTTCACTAGTCACGTCTTCCCACTAGAACTCGGAGAAGATTCCTCACGAAGCTAGTCACTAGTGAGAACAGGCAATTTGTATTATGGGGTTGTCAAGATTGTTAAGTTACACATTTTTTTCGCCTACAATAAAGAAGGTCCTGGGTTCGAATCCTGTGGGGGGCAGGAGTTGTGGATGCGCACTGTTGAGGAGTCCCATACTAGGACGAAACGGCCATCCAGTGCTTCCAGGTTTCTAATGGTGGTCTAACATTGATCGATTCATGGTTTCAAAAATGTATTAACCATATGTTTAACTAAAACTCACAATCAAATTAATCTAAACATAAATACTCATTAGATAGGTTAACGCAAAAATCAAACTCACTGACCAAGCGAATAACGTGAAATGTATTGAGTTTGAATCTTGATCACTACTGGGATGGATGTGTGTTCAGTTGATAAATCCCGAAAATGATGGATTAAATGTGCCGGATTTGGTTGTTAGCCGCAAATTCGTCTATTTGTTTAACATGTTGAGAGATGTAAGATAGTGGTGGCTTAATGACTAAAGTGTTCGATTTTCAGTTAGTAAATTACAAGTTTCCACAGTTCGTCATCTATTTCTGTTAATCATCACTCAACATCATACAGATATTTTGACTGGGAGAAAAGGATACATGGCCTGAGTGAATCCTGGCAATAGTGGTCTCTCAACTGATACAATTTCCTTTTGAGATGTATCGACATATATGGAGCTTTCATCATATGTTGAGCTGACGAGTTCCTTTCATTGACAAGTTGATAGGAAAGTCGATAGTCAGTTGACAAGTGATTTGTTTTTTATCTAGCATTGCTCAATTATGAAAAACAGATTTCTAAATGGCTTAAACGCAGAAACTAATGGAGAACATGAACTGTTAAGTTCAAAAGTTCAACAAACATGATAAGAAGCCAATCTACTCAACAAATTACATATGAAGCCAAATGACTGATTACTCCTAACAAGGTTGAAGTCAAAACATATTGAACATAATATCAAGTCATTTCGATTTTCAATTTGATCAATAGAATTTTTCTAACCAGCATTGACTAGAGTTCAACAAATAATCATTCTGAGTAGCGCTCAATAATCAAATAATCTAAACTTTTAGCGTTATTATAAGTGAACATTATATTTTAAACGATCAATGGAAATATGCATTACGGTTATGGCGTTCGCGCACAATACCGAAGGTTCTGGGTCCGAATCCTGCGGGATGCAGGAGTCGTGGATGCGCACTGCTGAGGAGTCCCATACCAGGACGAAACGGCCGTCTAGTGCTTCCAGGTTTCTAATGGTGGTCTAACATTGATCGATTCATGGTTTCAAAAATGTGGAAATAGAAATGCGAAAAAAACGATCATGTTTTGCTTTTAATGTTATTGATTTTTTTTGTAGATGATCGAATATTTTTGGCATTTCTACGTCAATCAAAATTTAATCATTCAGAAGCACAAATGCGTTTAGATAATTTTATTACATTGCGTTCATCACCTGAAAGTCCTGTATTCAGTTGGTATGATCGTTCAACTATAACCAGTGCAATTCTTGATGAATATTTAAGGACCGGGTAAGATTAATTGATGGAATAAAAATATAAATAATCAATTAGTTAATTTTTCATTGTAGAGTTATGAAAATTATTGTATTTCACTGTAATCAATCAGCTGTGACCAGTATAGTTCCACCCTGTTGAGTGTAGGTAGTCACCTACCCGAAGACAATGGGTGAGGTCACGTAACACCTTAAATTGATCGAAGTTAGACGTTAACACCACTGGATGCTGACTCAGTGCTCTAAAGGTTGAGTGCTCACGTGCAAGACCGAAAGTCATGGGTTCCAATCCTGCGAGTAGCACGAGTCATGGATGGGCACTGCTCATGAGGAGTCTCATACCAGGACAAAGCGGCCTTCCTGTGCTTCCAGGTTTCTAATGGTTGTCTAACAATGACTGGTTGATGATTTCAAAAAACACAAACCTCTAAAACTCTGCCCCAAAATATGTTGTTTGTTGAAATCAGAGCTTCGATTCGTTTAACTAAAGATCATAGTTCCTATCGTACAAAATTTGTTTACAGTAATATTAACTATACCATCGCTAAATTACAACAACACTTGAGGTTGTTTTTGAACAACCAAACGTGAATGTTTCATAACATCTATCAATGCAATGTCATTGAAGCAAAACTTCAACAACAAGTAAGAGTTTAGTATGATTATTTTTTTTGATGAAAAACAAATAATCAAATTACAATTTTACATTCAGTCAAATTTTTGTGTATGACGTAAGTGTTCAATCAATTATTGCTTGAGTAAATCAAGTTGCATTCAATGGAAAAAATCGATAACAACGATTGTAGCATATTGCATGACTTCAATAAGGCGAGAAGAAATAGATTTGCAGAACAAAATGAATTCATGAAATTATTTCAATATTTTCATCAATTGCAAATGGCTTAAATGTGCATTAATAATAATATTATTTTACATAATCATCAATGAAGTTTGTTTCGAAACGATATAGGCAGCAACATTATAGTTAAGAGACAATAATTAGAAAACAAATTGTTAAAAATATAGCGAGATTCATTATAGAATTATGGAGATTGTTAAGTTTCATTGAAATTATGAATTGATCATTGTTAGACCACCATATGAAGCCAGGGCAAGTGGAGTTCAACAGTGTCGCATGACGACAGTCAACTGCCGAAAATATTGGGTGAGGTTGAGAAATACCTCGGATTGATCAAAGTGGGATGGCTCAGAGCTCCAGAGGTTAGGCGTTCGCGCGCGAGACTGATGGTCCTCGGTTTTATTCCATCGCACAAGACTTGTGGATGCACACTTCTGATGAGTCTCACACAAACCGTAGCTGTTACCTTGACGTGGTGGTTGGGCTTGCTATCATGATAACCCAACCAAGCCACATTGGCTGGAACATATGTTCCTAAAGGTTCTGCCATGCCAGCCAGGTCAACTGGGAAACGGTAAGACTAAAAGCAGAAACTCAAGGTCTGAGGGCGAAGTCGTACTGTTGATTGTAGAGGGGTGTGACAGCAGTAAGGTGTTTACCTCAAACAACCAGCATCTGCAGCGATGCTAACTTCCCACAACAAAGGAAGGGGTTAGGAAAGGGTTGACCATAACAATGTCACACCTCACCCTACCACGTGGATTTCGGTCTCCTGTAGTATGGGCTGCCCACTAAGGGCTTTTAAGAATGGAGCTAATACTCAAAAAACGTTTCTTAAGAAGTCGTTGTGTGACAGGCCTCAAGCAGTTGTCCCTTGGGCTCTGCGACCACGCTCCCAGGTCTCTAAGACAGACACTAATCTACATTCTTCTTGAGGTTCCACGGTGTGGTCAAGTGGGAAGTGACAACCGCCCTCATACCGGTAACAGCACGTGAGACCAAACCGGTCACAGTCAAATCCTCCATACACCTACTAACATCTCTCTAATCTCCAGGACTAACCCTTTTCACTTTCATTAATCACCAAGCACCTCTGCTGCAAACGACACAAGTTCACGAAACGTTATTCCTGGTCTCAATAGAAGATTGTCCTCCATTCCAGATTAAAGTTTTAGATTATGATCATGCCTTAGTTCGAGCACGTATTTATCTGCAGCTTACTGGACGTAAGAAAATAACAGCAACGAAACCCTTTAGAGTTCTGCCCAACGATAACAAAGTTTTGGGGCAGAGTTTTGGAGGTTTCTGTTTTTACACATTTGAAATCATCAATCAGTCATTGTTAGACCACCATTAGAAACCTGGAAGAACTTCACGGCCGTTTCGTCCTGGTACGGGACTCATCAGCATTGCGTATCGACGGATCTTGCACCTTGCAGGATTCGAAACCCGGGGCCTTCGGTATTGTGCGCGAACGCCTAACCATCGGACCACTGTGCCGGCATCCGACGGTGTTAAAATCTAACTCTGATTGATCTACAGATTTTCAGAAAATTAGTTAGGCGGCCATGTAAGTGATGCACACTCTGAGGGAGGTTTAGAATGATATTCAAAAAGCTATGGAGACAGCAGTGATATCTGCCAGTAAGGTAAACCAGAAGGCTAGAGAAAAACAGTGGATTTCAGTAGCATCTACTGAACTTATGGATGCTCGAAAACTCATCCCGCCTGACTCTGAACATGACGAAGAGTGGAATCAGTCTAAGCACTGGCTGATAAGAAGCCAGTGCATTAATCGGGAACAGTGGTGGGCTGCGAAAGCAAGAGAGATGGAAATGACAGCGGCTATAGGTAACAGTAGACACCTTTTCAGACTTATCAAAGAAACTGGTATTAGGAATCTGACTATTAATGAGACTATCTTGAAAAAGGACGGGACTATTATTCATTCTCAATGCAGGAGATTGGATCTATGGGACGAACACTTCACGGATCAGTTCATTTGGCCTTCAGCCACGCATCGGTTGCCCATGATCTTCAGTCAACCTGAACGGCAAACCAGCGTAAGTCCTCCGACTCTTTCTGAAGTTAAGAAAGCTATAGGAAATCTAAAACTTCATCAGTTGAGGTGGTCGGAACATGTGTTATGTATGCCCAACCACCGGCTGCCTCGACGAGCTGTGTTTTGCGGCGTAGGAGAATGTTTTAAGAAAGTTAGGGGTGGCTAGACCAAAACATAGCACAAATCTATGAAGTCACTGACAAATGGACTGAGTCATGTTGGTAGATGTAGGCTACTTGGTCGGGGTCCGCGAGACGAAAGTCATCCAAAGGTTAGAGACCTTGAATGACATGGTTCAAAACCGTTTGCAACGTCTACTACTACTACTACTACTACCGCTGTAGGATTGGGATTGACAATTTGATCTCTCTGTGCTAATGTGATTGGACAACTTGAACTGATTTACGAACGTACGTACGAAGTTCTACATTGTGAGTAACTGACTGACTGGTTGACCCATACTAAGACGAAACCGCTGACCAGTACTTTTGGGTTTCTAATGGTGGTCTGACAATGATCTATGCGTTACTTCAATAAATATGGAGTAATAATCACGTCACCTAGTTATTATAAAACTGAAGATTCACGTTGTAAGTGTATGTTAATGAGATTTTTTACTTGAAGTTATCGAACATAATGATAAGTGGTAAAATAATATTTTCCAATATCAATGAAATGTTTATCACATTTTTCTTCTGTATACCAAGGACAGGGAGAAAAGGCTTGGTGACCATCATCGCCTATGAGAAGCTGAGTAGAAGTGCTATTTGATGCCTGGTTAATAATTATTCTGAACGCTTTTGAGACATCTACATTGAATCGATTTCACTTGTGCAAACTTTGTTTCCTTTTAGATATAATACGGGGATAATGTTCAGAAAATTTTGTAGATTCACTTGTTTGAGTTATTGCCATGATTGAACAAAAAAATTCCAATAATCATTCAAACAAACAGAATGCAGTTGTGCTTAGTACTGATGCATTTTCAGATTATAATTTTTGAGATGAAATTATTACTATTATGAATAAGAACTTCTTCAAATAATCTTTGAAATTTAATGTTTTTAATCATTTCAGTGTTTGTTTTTCTATTTAGTTTTCATTGTCCAATTGGATTCCTCCATGATGGATCATTTTTATTTATGGTTCGATTAGGTAAGTTATGTATACACCTTTAACACATGCAAACACACACACACAAACTGTCATATGCTGTCACAGTGGGGATGATTGATAAGCTTATGATAAGAAATTAAAGATTCTGATATCGGTTCGAATGCTGCTTAACATTAGGGCATAAACTATACCTAGGTTAGATTCCTGAGAGTAGCGTGAGTTGTGGATACGCACTGCCGATGAGTCCCACACCAGAATGAAACAGCCGTCCAGTACTTTCAGGTTTCTAGTAGTGGTCTAACATTTATCTACATAATCCTATAATGCCAAAAGGGTTGTGACGTAAATTAAACTAAACTAAAACATTGACTTTTTCTAATTAATTTTAAGTAGATCTAAATTTCGCTCAACTGTCACATACTGATATGGATTACTGTAGGAATTCAGTGTTCAATGTTCAATGATTAAAGACTGGTCATTGGATAATGTGATGTGGATTCGATTACAAATCTTGTTAAGAAATACTGCTGAGTAGTACAATATGTTAAAATGATGTAAAAGTTTTGTGACTTAAGCAGATACTTTTGGTTGTGTTGTATTCTGTAGCCTAGAGAATTTTACTACGGAGCTGATGTTGTTGTTTTGAACATCACCAACGGTCACTTCGTATAAAAGTGAACTTCCTAATTGTTTCACCAAGACTCAGTTGTAGTGTGTACCGCCGATATGTTGAAGTCACATAAGGTGTCCTAGCTTTCTGTAGGGTTCGTCACTTAGTATGCTTGAGGCTATTACGAGTTTACCTTAGTCGATAAACGCTAACGAGACTTTTACCAGCGTCCTGGTAGGCTACCTTGAATACCCAAAGTCGAAATAAAAGGCTTTGTAAGCGTAGAAGTATATTCTACAAACACCCAGCAATCACAGTACAATCAAGCATACAACTCTCGTTTATTTATACAACATAGAAACGTCCTTGAGACAGTTAAGAAAATAGCACACTAAAATACACAGCAGCCAATCACAGCCATGAATTTGCATGGTGGGAATTGAAATCTCAAGGTCAACTGATCAGCCCATACTCGCAAACGTGAAAACCAAAATAAGGCATTTATCAAGCAAGTTTTGGGGATTTAACATCCCTAACACTTTCAAGACAAACTAATCAACCTTTTCTGTATGAGTCATTATTAAGCTGTCTTTCGATCCTGTCAACACATTCGCTTATAACCTTGGTTCTTTTATTTGAGTGTGTGTGTGTGTGTGCGTATGTGCCTCTTTATTCAGTTAATACATGGTCTAGCTTACTTTGCTTCACCCATCGAGTTCATTCATTCTCCTTCCACACATCACTTTGCTTTAATTTGTTTGTATACTTTTCATTTTCATGTGTGTCTGCTTAAATGTATGCATGAAATAAATTCATCCGTATATTTTATTTGGTTTCTTATGACCATCATCGCATAAACGGGCTTCCCTTAAAATTCAAGGGAAGATTTCTTTCATTGCATACTCAATCATTCGTATAAATTAGTGTCAGATGGTGAGCCACTAAATTGGTGAGCTCTAAGTTGAATTTAACACAGCCATTAAGAGTTCAGTGCATTCTAATTACAACGAGTTCTATTGTCTATTATGTACTAATTTTTATCCCATTAGTTTGTCTGATTTTAGTCATCCACTGACGATCTGACTGTATGACCTTTTCTATGTGGGACTGATAAATCTAATCTTTATAGAAATGTTTGTAGATTGATGTTAAACTTCATGCTTACAGAAATTCTCTCATATTCTTGAGGAATTTTCTACATTCAGAATTTTGTTATACAATAAAAAATAAAACTTGCTTTTCTTTTTCAAATTAACATCAATCCATCCACAATATGCATTTTTTCCCCTCCTTTGCTTATCCTCTAACTTCAATTCAAAAATTGGTTCACTTTTGTACGAGGAAAGCTGCATGTGGTAAGAGATTGTAATTGAATGACAAATTGAATGTCAAAATACATTTTAATTTAATTTTAGGCTGTTGGAATAATAATCGTCTACCTACAGAGACTGTACTAAAACTACTCATGCTTCAGCTAGATCGTATGTTGGAAGATCCAAGAATTCAAATTTGTGGTTTACGTGTATTTATTGATTTCACTGGTGTTTCACCCTCACTATTGGATACAATCAATCCAAAAAAGACTATTAGAGATTTAAGCAAAATATTACAGGTTAGATTTTTTCTTTTCTTTCTATGTATTAATGATATGGAAATTCTTTATTCGATCTAAAAGAAAGATATTCTCAAATAATTTTGTCTTTATCACTTAGTGACGACGTTAGGAAACGAGTACCAGGTAAGGATGGCAGATCAATCGATGAAGTATTGAAACTTCATCAGTTGAGGTGATTGGGATATGTGTTACGTATGCCTAACCACCGACTTCCTCGACGAGCTATGTTTTGTGGTGTAGGAGTAGGTTGGAAGAAAGTTAGGGGTGGCCAGACCAAAAATAGGCAGAAATCCATGAAGTCACTGACAAGTGGGTTGGTAGGTGTCGATTACCTGGTTGGGGTCCGCGAGACGAAAGACACCAATGGTTAGAGACCTTGAATGACATGGTTCAGAATCATTTGCAATGGCACAAGTGCATCCACTCTTTGTGTTCTTTCTAATTCTAATCTTCTGGATTCGTCAGCACTTCTACCTTTGTCTTTCTAAACTTATCTCACTGAATTATACTTCTTGAATAATATCTTCAAATCTTAGTCTTCTTCATTACGATTAATACCCCTCCTATCTCTATCATAATGGGATTTGATTTGACATTTGCGTCTCTGTACTAATGTGGTATGGCAACATGAACTGATGTACTTACGTACGAAGTTCTACGTTGCAACTGACTGACTTAAAGATTCATAGAATGTCAAACCATTTGATCTCATAATAAACAACACGGCACGAACACAATTCAAATAACAATCGAATAATATTAGGTAAAAGTTTATCATTGGAACGAATCAATCAGTGTCCAGATAATGAATTCAAGATTACTAACCATCTTTGAACTGTAAATGACTACTTTTGAGAAGCCTATGTATAATTTTGAACAAAATATAATTGTGCAACACCTATAGAACAGTAGGTTTATTATAAGGAAGAATGGATCCACGAGACAAAAGTCATCGATGGTTAGAGACCTTGAATGACAAGGCTCAGTACCGTTCACAATGGTGCAGGTGCATTCATTCATTGTGTTATCTCAAATTCTAACCTTCTGAATTCCTCATCATCTCCAACTTTCTCTTTCTAAATTTATCTCACTGAATTATACTTCTCGAATCAATCTTCGCTCCCTAATCTTCTCCATTACTGCTAATACTTCTATTATTGTTATCACTGTTGGATTTGAACTGATAGCTAAGTCTCTGGGCTTATGTGGTATGGCAACCTGAACTTATGTACTCATGTGCAAAGTTCCACATTGTAACTAACTAACTGACAAGGAATAATGCAACATGACTATAGTTAGAAAATTAATATTGATGTTTTTGGAAAGAAACATATAGGCTGTGTTTCAAATGCTACTGTGTTACTAGTAGAATTGAAGTCTATTAGAACAAATTCAAATTTTAATAATTCAATGCTGAATATAAGATAAATGGTACTATTGGTGTTATTTTGATTGATAGGCTGATTTTGATGGATTTAACTTGAAGTGTGTTGATTTACTGCGTGTTCGTAAGCTCGGTAATTAGCTCGTCCAGACAATCGTTACTAACTAGAGTCTGACGGTTTATAAATCAGAAGGCGAACTCGTAGTGTTGAATACGTTTATTTGGGACACATCACAAAGCGAAACGGAGAAGCAGCGAATAAGACGAATGAAGCGACGTGAATTGAAGAAGCGCGTTGGAGAAGGCTAAGAGCCAACTCCAAGAGATAGAGCATGCCTAAGAATATGTAGTTAGACAAATATAAGACAGACATGTGACAAGCGAACTAGGCATGTGCACACATGAATAAAAGCGACGAATGGTTGACAAGGTCAAGTGACAAGTGGGACATGTCATGTGAGCTCATACAAACCAGACAATAATAAGAACGAATGGTACATATAAATTGTTGTAATTCAAATGGCTTGGTTAAATAGATTAATCAAAAGGGCTTAACGAAATTAAATGTAAGCGAACTGGAATATATGTCGAGGCACTACAAACTAAATTAAACTCAATCTAATGCTACCAACATCTATATCAAGAATTCTCATACAAATTGAGTAATCTACGTGAAACTGTTTCTTTAGTAAGTGAGACAATAGTCATAAGCACATAAACGTAGCAGGTAATGGAATTTGAAGGAAGATTTGGTCTTTGGTAGTAAGTAGGTTTCTAGAATTTTAGGATGAACTACTCTATTTGAAGATCACTTCGAAAAGTTTGAAAATCAAAACAAACCATAATATACTTATTACCAATAAATCAGACCATTGTTCATTGTGAAATCAGTGTGCACAAACATGATGACTAGAGTAACATAAATCTATTTTCAAGTTCGATTATAGTCATCAAATTTTTATTGTTAGAAAAAAACACTTTACAGATTGATTGACAGCGTTGTAAATATGAAAAAAAAACATTGAGACAAAATGAATAGAGCTAAACAAAAACTAATTGAGTTATTCTGGAAGATTCCAAAAGGTAGAATGTTACATAGTCATGTGAACTAATACAGATATCGTCATAAATATATATATATATATATATATATATATATATATATATATATATATATTACATTAAAGACAGGAACGCCCATAGTAAACTTTCATAAATCCATTAACTATATATTTTTCAGAATATTATTGTTCTTCTCTTGTAATATTGATATTTTAACTGGCTAACAAATAGTTAAAATTTCATGAGTTGTACAAGCTTGTCGTCTCTCTACTTTGACTCGCAACCTATCTTGTCATTATGATTTCTATCATTAACATGAACCGATGACCTTAAATGCGATTGGTTCTCTTAAAGAGTACCGCTGCCTCTGTTCTCATAGGTTCATTTCAGTACTTTACAATTTGTACGATTCACGATCTAGGATGTCATGATTCGGTGTAAGGTTATTCAAACATTTTTCACTGTTCAATTAAAATAAGATACTTAATTTTTGCGTTTTCCTTAAACATTTTCTCCATAAGTTTCATTTTAATCACTTGGCACTATTCATACACATCATTTATGAACTTCCCAAAATACGATATCCAAACTTTTCAGATAAAAATTAATCAAAAATAATCTGAAAGTTAAAACATCAAATGAAATCTTTAATGAAAATTAGATTCGTATACACCAGTATCACGTTCTATCTTACATATACTAAACAATTATAGAAGAAAATTGCTTACTTTACTTACTTACGCCTGTTACCCCCAATGGAGTATAGGCCGCACACCAGTTTTCTCCGAACAACTCTGTCCTGGGCTTCCCTTTCCAGTTCTGTCCAATGTTTGTTCATTCCTCTCATACCTTTCTCTATTTCTCGGTGTAATGTGTTCCTTGGCCTTCCTCTTTTCCTTTGACATTGAGGGTTCCATGTGAGGGCTTGTCTCGTGACGCAGTTAGGTGCTTTCCGCGATGTGTGTCCTATCCACTTCCACCGCTTCTCCCTGATTTCCTCCTCCACTCGAATCTGGTTTGTTCTCTCCCACAGTTCGTTGTTGCTGATGATGTCTGGCCAACGAATCCGAAGTATTTTGCGTAGACAGCTGTTAATAAACACTTGTATCTTCTGGATGACGGCTTTCGTAGTTCTCCAAGTTTTCGCTCCATACAGTAGAACTGTCTTGACATTTGTATTGAAAATCCTTATTTTGGTTTTGTTTGAAAGTTGTTTGGAGTTGCAGATATTTTTCAACTGTAGAAATGCAGCCCTTGCTTTGCCAATCCGTGCCCTCACATCTGCATCGGATCCACCTTGGTTGTCGATTATGCTGCCAAGATATGTAAAGGTCTTAATGTCCTCCAAGGCATCTCCATCAAGAGTGATTTGGTTGGTGCATAAAAGAAAATATCCTATAAATTTACAGACAAATATCCTATCTGTGTGTTTAGTTTTACAAATGAATTAAATTTTCTAAAATACTCTTAGAAGACTCCTGTTACTATTTTTTTTCATAAACAAAAGTTCACTTTTTATTGTAACTGTTTGTTTGTTCTATTGTTAGGAAGCTTATCCATTTCGTATGAGAGGAATAATTTATTATAATGAACCGCCAATTATGGAAGTCTTATTCAAATTATTAGCATTATGGTTGAAACCGAAAGTTCGAGAACGTGTAGGTTTTCGTAATTTTTTTCATAATTTCTTTTCTTAATTATATACGGCTAACAGTGTGTTATCATTCTCTCTTTATTACAATCCAGCTAATTCCTAATGCTTAGTATTCTTAGACGCCAATTCACTTGAGACGTTCTCCCAAATTAGAGCACGATTGAACAGGAAATACATCATTATATTCCAATAACAAGGTTAAAAGGGAGATTGAAGATCCAAAGGAAAAAGACGTAGGTATATTGATAGTTTTCTCACATGAGAAGATTCTAGAATGTTCCCTCAATATAGGCTAGCGCTGATTGGACACGAAAGAGCCAATCAGCGTGTACCAACCCAATCATGCTTTAATCCAATCTATGTTCCATCAAAACAGTGGAATCTAAGATGCATGTTTTGTCTTATTTGAGACTTTAGAACAGGATATACCTGCATTGCAGAGTTGATATTTGCTACAAGACTTGAAACTAGTAGAGTTTATTAAAGACCTCCGGTGTGTGTTATCCATTTAATTGAAATTTAATCCGTCACAGTATCAACACAGGAATAATTCAAATAATTACAATTTGTTCAAAATTCAATTTTTTTTCGTTTCAGAATCAAAGTGGCTATCCACTAACTAGGTGAATAGATAACATGTTGGTGTTCTTAACAAGTGTTGTATGAAATATGTTGATAGCATTAATGTAGATCTAAGTTGATTGATGTATATTTTTATCATTTTGTGATGATTGAATTAAACTTTAAACGCGTGAAATTTCAATTCATCAATTTATCTTGATTTTTCATTTACCGACATTTTTAAATGAACAAGTCAAAAAAAAAAAGAATTTTTGTATCAAATCTTACGCATCAAAGAATAAAGTGTTAACTAGTGAATTGTATGATGTGAGAAAAAATATGATGTTTTTGATAATATTGACTAGTGAATAACAAATAAATTGTGAATATATATATTTAGTTCGGTTTTATAAGACTGGTATTATACTGTTCTGAATCAATGAAATTCATATCATTAGCTTAAATTCTACTCTAGTCAATTATGTCAGGGTAGAAGAATCTGAATGCATAGGAGCTTTTATACCAAAATCAAATAAAAGTATACAAGACTTCTAGGATTCTCTTAAACTTTCTGTTGGCGACGTTAGAACTAGCTTGATAAATGCCTTAATTTTGAATTTTATGTTTCTAAGCATTGGCTGATCAGTTTACCTTGAGATTTCATTTCCCACCTGGGAAATCTTTGGCTGTGATTGGTTGCTTTGTATTTTAGTGTGCTATTTTTGTGACTGTCTCAAGGAAGTTTCCATGATGTATAAATAAACGAGAGTTGTGTGCTTGATTGGACTGTGCTTGCTGGGTGTTTGTAGAATTCGGTTTCTAGGCTATATCAAGACTTCTCGTTAGCCGTTTGGGGTCAACGGATCAGAGTAGCCTACCTGAACGCTGGTTCATTGTCTCGTTCTAGTTTGTCGAACAAGGTGAATCCGTAATAGCTTCAAGCATACCTAGTGACGATCATAACACTTCCTCTCTCTCTCCCTCTATATATATATATATATATATATATATATATTCACCTATATAGATAGGGACATGTAGGCTGTGACGAATAGCTCATTTATTTACAATAGTCTGTCTGTTTTGGATTTTTCAGTTTTGCTTGTGATTTGTTTGGTATTCCAGTAATATTTTAATTTGAAAAGACTGCCACCTAAAGACTTGATAATGGCGTCGTAGTCGTATCCTAGGTCCTCGGAATTCTTCTACAATTGAGTTGATGATGGGTAGAAAGTAAGAATAAAAGCTTAATTTCAAAGGTAGTAAATTCACAGATAAAAAACTGTATATATTCGGTACATTTCGACTTCTGAAAGACCCATAGAAGTATTCCAAATCTACGCGCAGACTAAGCAGTCCCCCGATTAGAGTGGGACACATAATACATCAATCTTTTAGAAGTCTCTAGGGACGTTTCTGATAAATGATGTATTGTCGAAAGGTTTATCATCCTGGTTTGCTTTAAGAAGACCTTTTCGAGGAATCCCCAAGGTGATCACATAAAAAAACTTGTCCAATCTCATCCAGTTGCTAATACTTGAACGCATTCAAGTCACTTGGAAGAAAACCTTCAACATTGTGTGAACTAAAATTTGTTGACAAATCGTAAAAAGTCAAACTAGAGACATTTTATATTTCATCATGAATAAATTATCATGGAATCATTTAATTGACATTTATTGGTCCACGTTTTTGACTTTATTCAATTCATTATGTTCATCCAGTACTATTTCTAATTTAGTTTAACAGTCATTCAGCTATTAGGAACAAGGAACCCATGATATATGTACTCTGTGGAATGATAGTTCAGTTCGCATGTAATAATGACCCAGTAGAGGAATATTTATTGAAACTCATGTTCCTTGATGTTAGGATATTCATCCAATATCCTAAGATGATTGTTTGTAAGTCTAACTCTATTGGTCATTTCCTACTGGTCATCCTAACTATCAGTGTCACAGACTTCAAATGCAGTTTCTTACTGGTCATCCTAACTATCAGTGTCACAGACTTCAATGCTGTTTCCTATTCCACCTAACTGTATAAATACGCATTATCTATAACGTTTTATGACCCGGACCGGGATCCTTATCCTCTTATGGAGTCGGACCTCGTACTTTCTGAATGCTTGTAGAATACATGTTCTACTTCATATCAAGTCTTCTTCTTTCACTCAATGGGGGTTTGAGACATTCGGATTAGAGTAGCATGTCGTGTCGTCAGGTGATCGATCCTATCTCTCATTTCTGATAATACGTGAAACCGCTTTGTTCCCTTAGCTTAACTCCAGAAATCATGATGGAAACTAACTCCAAATGAAATAATTTCGCGCACATTTACATAATTCATTTCTATATACTTAGTTATTGTTAAAATAAAAAGAAATTACTTAACAAGTTTAAAAGTGATATGACATCGATGATACTCCTGATGTAATTTGAGATCAACATAAGAATTTTACTAATAGTTCTGCTTACTTACTTATTTTTGTCTGTTACCCCCAATGGAGCATAGGCCGCACACCAGTTTTCGCCAACCAACTCTGTCCTGGGCTTCCCTCTCCAGTTCTGTCCAATGTTTGTTCATTCCTCTCATATCTTTCTCTATTTCTCGGCGTAATGTGTTCCTTGGAATTCTTCGTTTCCTTTTGCCTTGAGGGTTCCAAGTGAGGGCTTGTCTTGTGACGCAGTTAGGTGCTTTTCGCAATATGTGTCCTATCCACTTCCACCGCTTCTTCCTGATTTCCTCCCCCACTGGAATCTGGTTTGTTCTCTCCCACAGTTCGTTGTTGCTGATCATGTCTGGCCAACGAATCCGAAGTATTTTGCGTAGAATAGTTCTGCATTGTTTAGGGTAATAGGGTCTGATCATAAAGTTCTCATTAGCTTTCATTCAGATATGGTACACTTAAGATGGAGTCTTTCTTTGAAATAACACAGAATGCTTCATAATTGAACTATGTACAATAAAATAATTCACAATTGTAATGAATGATTTTACTTTTAAATTAAAACAAAATATAATAAAATGTAAACAAATAGAAGAAATGTATGAATGACTATTATTTGAAAGTTAATTCTTGTTATAAACAAAAATTTTATTGCTTTTTTAAATGAAACAATAAAAACTAGTGTATGCACATGTTTGTTTGTTTGTGTGTGTGTGTGTGTGACCAATTGAACATTGACATTCATAATTTAAACAATAATAAATCAAGTAAAGTTTGCAATGTCGGTGCTGGATTATGAAAACAAATTATTTACGCATTTTTTTCATGTCAACTAGAAACACAGAAGGAGTAGTATCTGTTTGAGTATTTACCGAAAATTCACTGGTTGCTTACATTCCTCAAATGTAGTTTAATGATTTAATCGGTAGCTAGGCCAGTTATTGATTTTGAAGGGAAAATTGGTCAGTTATGACTAATCATTCATTAATCAATCATCACAGCAGCTGTTGGGTAACTAACTCTACATTATTCCTCAGGAAAGTATACAGGGTCCCAGAAAATGCTTGAAAACAATGTATACAATCAGTGTTGAATCCCCATCAATCTGTGGTTTTTTCTCAAACTCTAAGGGCGAATCCTCTCAATGTTGGTAGACTGAGAATCTTAGTAGAAGTATCTATAAAATGTTTGATCACGTGCCACTATTTGATTGGACATTTAGCCACTTTGTTGTTATATTTAGTATGTGGTTCCAGAAACTTCCCAAAACACGAAGTCATGTGTAACTCTGTAAATACCCTCGGTTTTTTATATATAAACAAACCTTAATGCAGACAGTTCTTTTCGCACATCACTCCTTTTCTCTTGTATTTAAGTTGGCATATAGATTAAGCCTGAAGTTACTAGAAGTGGCTAGGGAAGTCGGATAGAGTGTTTATATCAAGCCTTAATTTTGTTTTACTTCATAAAAAAAACCCGTCAAACTTTTATTTGATCTACTGTGTGTACATTTGTGTTAGTATGATTGGGTATATGTCTGCACCTCAGTTCTCTACTCTTTTTTCTAATTAGTTGTAAGCAAGGCCAATTAGTAACTTTATCCACCTAGTGATTAAGACGCATGTAATACACTTATGTCCACTCCCCCAGTTATTATTCATCAACTCAATCTTTGGTATGCTTGACTCTTGTACATTTTGCGGACACTATTATGCTAACCCGAATAACTGAAGTTCTGGTTTTCTATTTATTCTCGTGTAAATTCATAGTAATACTAGGAGAATTAACCGACCATAGTACACCCTTGATGGGACGATTTATCGTAGTCAAAAATATGTGGTGGAAATAACCACTAGATGTTCATTTAACAGACTCATTAGTGTTAACGGGAAAAACTATAATGAATATTATTCATTGATTCATTCCATTCATGAATTTCAGTATGATGGTCTAGCTGGTGATACTTTTAACTTATAGATCTAGAAGTATGATGA